CTAGGTTTATCAGATACAGTATGTTACCTGGGTTTATCAGATACAGTATGTTACCTAGGTTTATCAGATACAGTATGTTACCTAGGTTTATTGGATACAATATGTTACCTAGGTTTATCAGATACAATATGTTACCTAGGTTTATCAGATACAATATGTTATCTAGGTTTATCAGATACAGTATGTTACCTAGGTTTATCGGATACAATATGTTACCTAGGTTTATCAGATACAGTATGTTACCTAGGTTTATCAGATACAGTATGTTACTTAAGGTTATCAGATACAATATGTTATCTAGGTTTATCAGATACAATATGTTACCTAGGTTTATCAGATAGAGTATGTTACCTAGGTTTATCAGATATAATATGTTACCTAGCTCTACTATTCTGCTGTCTTCCTTTGTTATTCTCTTCTAATATTTAGCTCTACTGTTCTGCTGTCTTCCTTTGTTATTCTCTTCTAATATTTAGCTCTACTGTTCTGCTGTCTTCCTTTGTTATTCTCTTCTAATATTTAGCTCTACTGTTCTGCTGTCTTCCTTTGTTATTCTCTTCTAATATATAGCTCTACTGTTCTGCTGTCTTCCTTTGTTATTCTCTTCTAATATTTAGCTCTACTGTTCTGCTGTCTTCCTTTGTTATTCTCTTCTAATATTTAGCTCTACTGTTCTGCTGTCTTCCTTTGTTATTCTCTTCTAATATTTAGCTCTACTGTTCTACTGTCTTCTTTTGTTATTCTCTTCTAATAGAGAAGACCAGAAAGTAGAGGGACTCTTAGGGGGAAAATTGTTCATTTCGGTTTTTCTGACCCATTTTATTTTTTCTTGCAACTCTAATTTTTCTGTATCAAGTTTTTTCATTTTCCAAACAGTGTGATTCTGGTGCCTCATTTTCCAAACAGTGTGATTCTGGTGCCTCATTTTCCAAACAGTTTGATTCTGGTGCCTCATTTTCCAAACAGTGTGATTCTGGTGCCTCATTTTCCAAACAGTGTGATTCTGATGCCTCATTTTCCAAACAGTGTGATTCTGGTGCCTCATTTTTTAGTAAATATAGTGACATAAATAATATTTTGTGAGTCGAGTAATAAATTACAGCATTTCTAAAAGTTAATTTATATTTATAGAAACCTTACTTGGTCATTTTAAGGTACAAGAAATAGGATTTTTTTTTTTTATGTAATGTAATGAAAGACGTATTAATATACATCCTTGTCAACAGTACTAAATTTGTGGGCTAGTTATTAAAACATCTTTTATCAGACATAGCCAAAGAATCAGTATTGCTAAAATTTAAAAAGTGGGAGTTTTCAGTATTTCTTAAGAGTTTTGGAATTGTAAACCTACATCTCATTATTCGACTGTCACAAACTGTTTGAAAGAAAACATAGAAACATGGATTTGTAAAGACATGACAAAAAAATAACTTGATGATGACAATCTTTACACCTGTAGTTAAGCCTAAAAGGCATGAAAAATTGCAGAAAAAGATAGTAGCAATAAAGTTAAATGAGCACAAAATATTATATATATATATATTGTTAAGATTAGTCTTGTGAAACCTGAAACCCACAAATTAAATATACTCAACTTGGCTGAATTGTCCTTTGTTTTCTAGTTTGTTATTTGACCCTGAAATTGGCTAATCTGTGTTGTTTAGTGATTAAATTTTAATATATTTTCAGTGTTGTGCATCTAAGATTGTCTTATTGATGAATATACTGAAGATCACTTTGTCTTATTTTTGCTGGTGATTGAAAAATGCACTGTCTGTATGTTGTATGTACACATTTGGGGTTTTGGTTAGATCTTTTCTGTTTAGATGACTTGAACTCAAATTTATAAAGTAACCTAAGAAGCTAAAAAGGTGCTTATAAATTGTTATATTATGACACAGTGAACTGGTCTGAGTCTTTTAGGATGTATGTGGCCAGTATGAATCAATTTATTAATTGTCTGTAGCTCTGGATGAGGAGGAGCAGGAACTAGCCACAACTGTTCTGACCTGTGAAGGGGACTTGGATGATCCAGCTTTTCCTTACCGATTACATTATCTAGTGTGTAAATTGCAGACTCTTATCTCAGATGGTAAGTAAACAATATTATACCATTTATTACTGTTTTCTTTTAGTTTTTATTGCTTCAAATCTAATTAAAAAAAAGAAATTCTTTGAATTGCTTATTACAATTTTCATGTTTAGTTTATAAATTTAAGGTAAGTTATTTAAACTGCAGTGACTTGAGCATATTAAAATCTAGAATACAGAAGGCTCCCTCTTTGTTTACTAAGTATCGTTGCTCTTAAATTACACAGTTTGTTATGTATTGTAATTTGTAATGTAGTTGACTTTTGAGATTTGAAACTGATCACTTTTGTCAACATCCACCTTAGAGGAGAAGCCATTTCAAGTGACGAAGGTGGAACCGTGGAACAGTGTACGTGTTACATTTAGTATCCCACGAGGAGCAGCCCAGAGGCTACGTCAGTTAGCCCAAAGAGGAGATCATGTCTTGAGGGATCTTGGCATCTTGTCTGTGCAAATAGAAGGAGACCAGGTAGGTACAGTACTTATTATTTCACATGTTGCAGAACTGTGTTGTGCTTTGTAAAATTCAGTCTGTTCAGCAACTTTACCTTTCATGTATTTACAAGATCATCAAGTATTAGGTCATCAAGAAATTAATGTCGCTTTTTTTAAATGAAATAGTCTACATCCTTATCAATGATGCTTTTCCATCATACAATCAGGTTGTTAATGCCCTGATTAAAAAATCACTTGGCTTTGAAGCAAAAAACATGTTGATATCCTCTTTAACACCTTCCACATTTTCCCATTAAGATGGTGTTGCAGCGAACAAGAAAGATGGTAATCTGATGGTGCCATATCTGGAGAATATGGTGGGTGGGGGAGAACTTCCCAACCCAACTCCATAATCTTGTGTTGCATCAAACGTGCCACATGTGGACGTGCATTGTTGTGGAGAACAGCTTTCCAATTGATGAGTGAAGGGTGTTTCTTATGAAGGGCTTGATTTAAAAGTTCCAGTTGCTAACTATAGATCTCTGCATTGACAATTTGCTGTGGTCTGAGAAGTTCGAAATGCATAACTCCTTTCATATCCCACCAAATGCAAAGCATCACTTCCTGCGAATGGAGTCCAGGTTTTGGGGTCGGAAGTGGTTTTTGTCTAGGACTGAGCCATTGTTTTTGGCCTTTAATATTAGCAT